CTGTCAGCAGGGGGGCTGGGGAGCTGTGGGTCCTGGTGTGCAAAGGGGGCATGGGGACCACTGATTTTCAATGATAAATAACCAAAAATCAAATGCCATAATATATAAGTATTTAGAATTTATTTTAGTATAGTGATTGAGGCACTGATTGGTTTCCAAATTGCTTTAAAATTGTAAGCATATCAATAAAACATTGTGTTCAAGTGATACCTATATATATAGTGGCATTTCATTTTAATCATGGAAAAGTGTGGATTTGGGGGGGTTTAATCAGAGACTTGGTGATTTTTAAACAGAGAAAACCAGGATCCTGGCTCATTTCTAACTACAAACAATGGATGCAGAGTCTTAGTGAATTTCCACCCTTGGTTTAATGACCTTGCTATGGGACTTGTTTGAATGATGACCTTTGACATTCCAGTGTACAAGTATAATTTGAATACAGATCTGATTTACTCCTAATGGTTGGCTTCTGTCAGAAACAGTGTCTCTTGGGCAGGAAGAACCAGGACGAAATGCAGAATGCATACAGAAATGCCTCTATCAATCAATCAGACTTGCATGTTGACCTTTCAAGAGTGGCAGCTGATCATTCTGCCAAGATGAGATAGAAAGCAATGACAGGTAACAACTGGTTTCTTATTGTTAGAAAAACCAATGCATGATCAAACTCAGGGTTCAACCCCATGAAATAGAGGGCTTTCCTTCCTCCTGCCCTTTAACCAGATTCATTAAACATTCTCATGGGACACATTTCCATTGAGTTGTGGTAACCTCCCATTCAGTTCATTAGACATGAAAGCTAATATGCAACAAGGATAGCAGCTGGCTGATCAACACATGTAACAAGTGCCTCAGTCTGCAGTATGCTTACTCTGCAGCATCCTCCTGAAATGAGAAGACACAATCTATTGGCTTTGACAGAGTTTTGTATTAAAAAAAAAATTCAGGCATACTGAGTAGGATGACAGCTGAATTGTTACACTAGGACAACTGCTGAAGAGTCCTAAAAGAAATACAGCTCTGTATTGTGAAAAGAAGGAAGTGAAAGTCCAGTTAATTTGTGTTGAAATATCTTATATTTTCAACATACAATTATAAAATAATCTTATGATTTCAACATTCAAAGGAAAGATCTTAATCACAAAAGCACAAAGTATGCTATACCAGTGGGCCCCCAAGATGGATAACAAAGACCTTTACTTCTCTAACTTGCCCTACTTTGTTCTATGTCCAGAATCTCAGAGAGTGTGTGGGAAGCACCCTAGATCTGCAGGAAAAATGAAACTCCGGACAGCGGCATTCACTGCAGGAGCAAAATCTTAGCATGTAGGCAAAACACATATGTTCAGAGAGCAGAGGGAGATGGTAGCTAGAGGGTCCCAAAGAGGAGTTGGGTGCCCAAGCGTGACAGCATGACCTATGCAGAGACTGTCAGATTGAACCATGTACTCCTTGCTTCTTGTGGATGTAGGCAAGACTCATCACACTATTTTAAACAGATTTTTTATAATTTAACTACAAACAGGAGAGATGAATCTCATTGAAAGCAGAAAGGTTAAAGCACATTGCCCAAAACAACATTAACTAAGGCTCTTACAGCTTTGTAAGGTCTCACAGTTGTTTGCAAGGGACTCCATGTTGGCCTCAGGGCACCAAAGCCAAAGCTAGCAGTAATTGCTATTAGTCTGCATAAGAATTAAGATGCTAAGAGCCCATGAGCAACTAAAACGGAGACTCTATAGTTATATACCAGAATACTGCCATGACATGGCTGAACTGTACAGACACATTACAAGCATTCTAGGACTTTTCCACCAAAAAGAAAAACCAGAAATGTGGTGCCTCTGTAGATAACATAACTGATGGCTTCATACAGTCATATTGTGGCATTTGAGGAACCATTGAGCTCAAGTGACCCAGCTGCAAAAGGAGCCTATTTAAAACCACAAAAACAGCAGTGTGGTCTAACAGTGAAATAGTCAAAGGAAGGCCATAAGCCTTTTCTGAACCTCTGACCCATATGTCTGAGCTCAAGCCAGTCACAGGACATCATCAGGCCTGAAGTCACCACAGAACTCAACCTGTTAATGGAGGAAGGAATCCCTGAAGACATTGCTCTGTTCTGTCAAAGCAAACCAAGCTATCAGACTACACAGTATCTTTCATTAGACCAGTTACATAGTTGGGAGAGATGTTATCCAAATTTCTGGGCACAAAACGTTCCTTGCATATTCCTTGAACATCACAACCATACCAGGGCTACCACCCTACTAGACTATGAAGTATCCTTCAAGCTGGACACACCTAGGGTACTTCTCACTATGTCCTTCGGTTGCACTGTCAGAATATAGTTACCTACTAAAATGACTGGCTTAGTTCTGTATATTTGAAGGAAAAAAACAGTTTTATTTCCCTCTTGTGTGAGGAGTCAGGAGAGCTCTGACCTGCTCTTCTTGAAGGGAACTAGCTAAAATAGGGCTTCTGAAGGATGTGCTGCTGGGCAGAGCTATGACTGTCAGACTGACTTAAGAGTACCTCAGGTTAAAAAAGTCTTGAGTGTGAAGGGAGTTTTTAGTGTGATGTTTTCAGTCATAAGAGCAGGCAGTGAGAATCTTACTTTTCAGAGAAGCAGAATTACCATGAAAATTATTTTCCTAGGAGAAAGCGGCCTGTCAAGAAGAGGAGGTCTGTGGCTGTACCAATATTAAAGTGTTTTTGAAATAAAAGAAAAATAAAAAATTATTTTGAAATAACCGTTTAGCTAATGGACTGTTAAAAAAGGCCTGAATTCCAATTTGTGGGTATTTATTATTATGGTCACATTGTCTATTACCCTCCATCTATCACCATTACATTTCATTTCCCTGGTGACAAACTAGTTGCGCAGAAAATAAAAATCTCTTGGATGCACTTGCTCCATGCTCATTCACTACTCTGACCACTTATGTGTAATCAGCTAGTTTACCTGCAGCTGCTGTCTTTGGGCCTATTTGTGAAGGTCAATTAAGAACAGCAGGGGGTTCTCTGACCCCTGCAGGTCTCTATTACTTCCACTGCCATGTGAAACACAGCTTTCAGTTTCTCCTGTATACTCTCACTTCTCCAAACTCTCCTAATATATGTTTCATCACAGGCCCTTTAGAAATACAAATTATCTGAAAGCTTGTCTAAATTTATCCCAACCACAAGAACCCCAAGAAATCCTTGCCACTCACCTCATTTCTGGACCAACATAGCTACAACATCACTCTTACACTACCGTACATAAAGATATCCAAAGTATATTATTAAGAGACACTGTGGGTTGGTGATTGGATGAAATTCTGCAATTCAAGTTATGCAAGAAATGAGACTTGATGACCATAATGGTCATTCCTGGCATTAAAATCTATGAGCCACCACATATGCTGTGACAGCTGAAAATTATGTCTGTGTGATAAGGTGCTTGCTGAAGGCTCTTTGAAGATTAGACCAAATGTTTTTCTGTCATTTGTTCAGTTATTAAGCTATATGTTGTTGCTAAGAGCCTAATTAAAGTCAAAGATGTAGTAAAGCCCTGTATAAAGTAAGGCCTAGTAAATTTAACAAAGCCTTGAAGTAGTAAGGCCCCATGGTGTAGTTAAAATTAACCTTATCAACAGAATGCAAGGCTTGTACTGCTATTGGTCAGTCTAAGGACAGTTGAAGAAAAAGAATCTGAATAGCTGTAACTTATCAGCATAGCTCAGAAATTATAACTTGGCTGGCACATCCAGAAATCATTTAGAAGGAAGATGTAGGTCTATGAAAGAAGTACTGATTTAAGATTAGCTGCTGGCCTGGATCAGTGGGCCCGTGGACCTCGAGGAGCCCAAGGACTGAATTCCAGGGTCCTTCCCGGTACCTCTTGTACAGCGCTGATTGGGGACACCTGACTTAACTGAGCTTTGTGGAAAGAGAAACTTGTTGTACATCGGGAATCAGAGGGGATTGCCGGTAAGTTGCTTATGCAAATTATTATTGTCTGTCTGTTGTTTTGTTATCTGTGTGTAGTCGTGTTTTTGTTAAGTCAATAAACTTTCTTACCTTTCTACCCCCAACCATACTCTCAATCCCGAACCCTCCACTGGTGGCTGGGACAATATGCCTACTTCCTTTGTCACAAACAGACTTGTCAGCTCCACAAAGTAATGGATAAAAATGCAGGTTCTCCCCTTACTTATTCTCTTAGTTTTCATGTTGTACAGGTGGTTTGCTAGGTTCCTGAAGTTGGTTTTCTGCTACACTTCCCTTGACATCGAGATTTAAATATAAAGCAAATCACGCTTCCTTAGAATACAAGTTTGACTGACCCAAGCACCCTACTCTACTCCACTTAAAAAAACCCAAATAAAAGGAACATTGTCAGGTTAAGAATACCTCATTCTGACCCCACAGTTCTCTTTTTTGTAGAAACAATTTTGTTACTTTGTACTTCCACAGCAATTTTCACTGGAAGATCACAAAGGCTTCTCCAACTTGAGAGAGTTCAGTCTTGATACTTGTGATACCACTCAGTCAGACTAAGGGTGGTATGATCTGGCCCTAAGCCTCAAGTGACAGGACAGGAGGAAAAGCAGAAGGGTCAAATTTCGGTACTTTAATCTTGACAATGCCTCTGTAAAAGGCTTCAGGAGTCATTCCACCATGTGTGAGTAAGAAACCCAAATGGTGCTGCACTGGTTAGCAAACCCCCTAATTTCTGCCTCTTTAGGCTGTCTCTTGGCTGGCATCCTGGCAGGAACTCCATTATCTTTTCCATTTAAACAGAGTGAAACAACTTTCAATTCCTTCTACAATCAAGGACAGAGAAGGTTTAGTGTAACAAGAACTTGTCAACTGTTTTTTCACTCTCCAGGCCCTGCCTCCATAACGGAAGTGTGGCCATGAGCCTGGAGCAGGCAAGAAGGAAGGTACCATATGCTCAGTGGTTTTAGTAGTAAGGAACTGGACCTTCTTACCAATCAGGTTCCTCCATTCGGTGTCCAAGTCAGCCTGATTGGCCAGGCAGCCCTTCATGACATTACGGCAGTAGTTGTTGCATGGCTTCACGCTAGACATGCCCCGGCAATGTGGGCAGTACACCAGCTTCATGATGGCCCGAGTGCACTCATGGCCAAGGGAAACCTGAAAGAGGTGGAAGTACAATTAGTACACATGTAAAAAAGTAAAAAACTCCAACACGACAGGCCAATGTACAGTGTGACATTTAACAGCCTGGTCTGATAGATTAAATTACTCTAAGACAAATTCATCCTCAAACTTATAAGTTATAACCTATCTAAAACATGCTGTGATCTGGTAGAAAGGACTCTGGCTGTGAGTCAAGAGACGCAGGTTTTGTTCCTGGCTCTGTTACTTTAGAGAAGTCTTTAGCAAAGTCACTGCATCTCCCCTTGCCTCTTTTTATTTTCTCTGTCAGTCTTGTCTGTTTGGACAGCAAGATCTTCAAGACAGACCCTACCTCCCAGTGTCCGATGGTGCCATGCCCACCACAACGTGGTCCTGAACATGACTGGTGTTATTACATGTCACCACATCACAGAAAATAAAAGCAAGAGAGAGTGGTAGCAGCAGCAGCAAATTATGCAGAGATAAAAAATACTTGGGAATGGAGTAGAACAAACACATTAAAGAGCATGTTAAACAACACTATTACTGAATTCTGATTTATTTAGCAAAATTCACAGTGAATAATGTTTTTTGAAATTGCAGGACTTAAGGAACAAATAGGAATCTAATAGTGCTACTAGTTCATCTGCTTAGCTCACAGTTGAGAGCCTTGCTGACAGCCAGTTTTACTAACCCGATTTTCTCTCTTCCATATATATTTTTTCTGACGTTGGGCTTTTGTTTTAAACATCCAGCAATGCAGATTCTCACAAGTGTTCCTGCCAGAAACTTAACTTAAGCATGCTCCTTCTGAAAAGCCTGTTGCCTCTTGAGCAAGGATGAACTAGACGTATTTGGTTGGTATCACTGGGAAGGAATGGGTGGTAGGTGATGGCCTCACAAAGATGAGCAAATAGTGAAGCCTTAACACTATTAAAAATGTGTTGAAAATGCCCACAAAGATGGGGCATTCAAAGGTTTAAAGAAATTGCTCCTCAACAGGGGTTTTATGAGCCCCATGGATACCCTTTGGCAGGGAGAGCTGCAAAGCATCCAAGCTGAGAAGAAATTTGGTCGGGGAGGGAAACCCTGAAGGTGAAGTTTGGAGCAGCACCAGAATAAGATGCTCCTGGGAGTTGTCCCCCCTCCATCCCCAGCTGAGGAACTGATCAAGCAGACTGCTCCAGTATTGTAACTATCCTAATCATTTCAGAGTGCGATGCGTATTTGTAATTTCCTTGCCATTCTTCAGAGGTATTTTTCCATATGGTTGTGTGTCCCTCAATATTTTTTTTTAAGACTGCCAAGCAGTTTAGCATTCCTGAGATACCCTGGAGTGGCAAACTAGCTTGTGAGAGTGACAGATGGGGAAATGCTCTGTGTGGAGAGAAATCCAAGTCTCAGGATGCAGTTGCAAGTCAGATATTTCCCTCTCCACCCATAAATTATGAAAATACTTTGAACAATATCCTTTTAAACTTGCTGTGGTGTAAGAATAATCAATACTGAGGTAACTTCAGAAGACTGAGAGCATGCTGAGCAGACTGTCAGAGGTTAAGAGATGAAATCCCTGAGGTTCCTCTTCTTTAAACTCTCTTCAGCATAGCCTTTTACTTTCAATAAGCCTTGAAGAGGTGGTCTCCAGCCCTTATTTTGCAAGAATGAATTCAGCGGATCTGATCAGAAGTCCTCCTACTGCTCAGATACTTCATAGACACTAAGGTCTATTTTGCATTTTAAAAGTAAGTCACAAACTGGAGTTTCCACTTCACTTGCCACCAAATGGAAATGCCAAACCTAGTGGAGAACTAACAGGACAATGCAGCAATTCTTTCCCTGCATGCACAAAACAAACAGAAAGCAAGACCTAAGGCTCTAACCTCTGCCAGATAAAAGTGTGCACCATCCTGCCACAGAGAGTAAGATCTTAGCCTCAAAGAAAATTCCAAAAGTTTCCAGGCTTTACTCTCATTTTCAAAAGAGCATCTTCTTCTATTATGAGGCAAATGCACACAAACAGAACAAAATGTATAAAATGAGCACACGCTCAAATCCTTACTACAAAACACTAAATGCATGTTTAATGCCTGGAATTAAATTGCTTTAAAGTTGTAATGCTCTCTTTCTGCAAGTAGGGGGAGCTTTTACCCTGCTGAAATCAGGTAAGCAAAACAATTCAACAGCAAAAACCAAAACCCCACCGGCCGTGAAAGTAACTTAAAAGAACAAGAAGTTACATTGAGAATGTTACTTAAAATGCTAGATTTTCTTTGGATCCCAAGGTCTCCAGGAGCTTCACTGAATGGTAAATCAGGGGACAAAAATTAAGAGCTCATGTAATATAAATGCGAACTATAAATAGGCTAACACCTGTCAGAAACAGACTATTCAATCTGAAATACTGGAAAGGCAATCTGGAAGAGAGTTGCTACTCACTTTCCTCTATAGAGTCTTTATGAACCAGAGGTGCACTGTGAGAGACCAGCAGAAGAACGCAACTAGCATAAGCAATTGTCATGAGGAACACTTTCTTTTGCTATTTAGCAGGCATTCAATACAACAAACTGTTCTGACTGACTACCTAAAAGCCAGTACACAATATAATAATAATAATAATAATAATAATAATATGGTCCAAAGCTGAGCATCAACATGTCTCAGAAGCCAGTGAGTCAATCAGCTAGGATAAGGGAGGTTCTGAAAACAGGTAATTGCCTAGGGTGGGGCTGTCTGACTTCTGAGTCACTGGGGGCTGCATGCTGCATCGGTCACAGAGCCTGGGCCTGCTGCAGGGACTCCCCGGGATCCTAACTGCACAGGCAGCGCAAGCCCCTGCCTTCCCACCATGCTGCCCTACCACAGGGACCTTGACCACTGCAGGAGCAGGAGCAGGAGCAGGAGCAGGAGCAGGAGCAGGAGCAGGAGCAGGGATCCTTTAAATTAAAGGATTTTTTTTAAAGTGACTGTAATGCTCATGAAGCCAATGGAAACTGATAGATCACTGTATCCCCTGGGACACTCTAACAGACAGAGGAGTAGGCAGTCTATTCTGTGGGCTCAGCCTCCATCCTGTGGGTCAGCTTTGGCCCATGCAGCTACCCCCAGGTCTAGAAATTTGGCAGCAGAGGAACGGTGGCAATTAACACTGCCACTGTTCCCCCAACAAATTTTTACTCCCTGTGGGTCAGATTACATGGTCCTATGCACAGGGCCACAGGCATGATCTGGTGTGGGGCCTGATCTAACGTGAAGAGCTGGGACCATGTACTGAGCAAGACCTGCATGGCAGGTAAGGTCCATGGACTGGATCTGGCCTGTGGACCAACCCCACACCATTCATCCAGCCTGAGGGGTGGGCCAAAAGATTAGGCATCACTGCCAAGGTCTGGAACCAGTCCAATATCAAAGACCAGAAGACAAGTCCAAGAACAGGATGGCAACGGGACATAAATATTGATCAGCCTGCAATCAATTAAGAAGGGCCCTACTGCTTCTGTTAGCTAACCAAGTGGTGCATGGACACAGCCAGTCCGACACACTTGTGCTGGTGGGACTGACTGCTAGGGTTCCTAAGAGTAGGGTAGGATTGTGCAGGGGAAGTGGTTCTGTGACGTTCTCTGTGGTGACTTGGTGAAACCATCTCTATGTGTGAGAGAAGATAATTTCTACTCCATGCCTACTAGCTCCATATCTCTTTTGGATTGACTGACCAGCAAGAGTGCAGCTGCCTGCACTGATTTCCTGCGATGTGACACCTATCCTACGGGGCACAAAACAGCTGCTGCACGGCCATAACTTCTACTCACATTCTAAGCCAGGCTAGACTGAAACCATCCCACATTAGGCAAACATCTGCTAACAGCATCAGTGCTTGCTTACGGTTAACATCTGCCTTTGGTTGGCCATTCCAAATGTTGCACTAGGCAGACAGAAGGCTCTCTGAGGTTTCAAGCTGAATTCCTGAGAGTAGGAGAAAAGCCCTGCCTTTAATGCATAACTGAACAAACATGACTTGGATGCCACCAAGACAAAATTTGTGCATGGCCAATTTGTCATTCTTGCAAAGTGACTTTTTCCACCAGAGGGACACTTTAATATCACGCTGTACAAGGTAGCTTGGAGGCAGTGTTCAGACTGCAGTATGCACGTAGGTAAAACAATCCTTCTGCAGTTACCTGTCCTGTGGTTTTCCTCTCTGCTGTGGCCGTTCCTAGTATAAACACATTAGGAGACTCGTTCATGCCACAACTGTTGCTTTTAAAATGACCTTGCCATTAAATCTGTCAGATTCCAAGTGCTCAAATTTGTCTCTGAGCAACAAGAATTAGTCTCTGCTGGTAGATTTCAGGAGCCCCTCGCTCTTTACCCTGATAATTTATTCAGCACGTTTATCTTCATTTCCTCCCGAACTGACAGGCAGAATGAGTAGAGCTATCGAAAATGGGCATCCCTGCAGCTCTATGAGTGAGGATATTCCTTCACAGCCAGATTTCAGCCTCAGAGTTCAATCCATCCAGAAGCCTTCTCAACCTGGAAATACTTCAGTCTAAAGGCTAAGGTGTTTGATCTAGGCTGGGAGCTCACTACAGATGAGCAGCTAGATTTAGAGCTCAATTACAGGCTTTTTGCAAGAAGCCTCTTTGCTGTAAAGGTAGATTTTTTAGAAGTTGGTAGCTATTTCATATGGCTGTTGCTATTGCAATTTGCTACTTAAACTAATAAGCTTTTTACGGGGTATTTAAATGTATAGTCCCTTATTTTGACATATTCAAAGGACCACTGGCTTCTTTCTGGCTTCAGTCTTTACTCTGCTGAAGAATCTGAAACTTTAATTTCCCTTGCTACAAAGCTCAAAGGCCTGCTATTCAAAAGTACTGAGCTCCCCTTGCCTATACAGCACGTGTGAATATCACTGTACATGTTTACACTGTTTAATCCAGATTCACAAGCCTCACCTTTGGGAACACTGGCTTAAATATTTAATGCCTTCAGCAGCAACCCTTTTGGAATAAACC